TTGTAGATATAAACATAAAGCACTCATCCATTCAAACTAAAATTTGTTTTATTAATTAGTTTTTGGTTTTAATCTTTTTTCCAGGTTACATCAAAACAAACAAAGCTAGCTAAACTACATCGACGACATGCATGTAGTGTAAAAAAATTTAAATCATTAATTTAGTTCTGAAAATGGTAATTTCAAGCAAAATATCCCGATGAAAATTCAAAAACTTACTGTTTAAAGGGGGTCCAATCGGGTTTTACATAAAATTCCTACATTTTGCCCACATCTGTTAATATCAACTCATTTTATAATATATGATATGTGAATTTGGATTCAGGAAGTTACATAATAATAACACTAGCACAATACATAAACCATCAGATAGTTCTGATCAGGATCGTAGCGATTAATACGGTTAATATTTTTGTTTGCATACCATAAGATAAAACGGTTAATAGTTTGGTTTGCATACCATAAGATAAACACCAAAAAAGCATTGGAGTTGCTCTAAGAGTAAATTATATCTATCTTATTTATCTGCTCTAGGCGTAAATGCACACGTAACTAAAAAGAGAGGATATTAATTAAGTTTAGCCCACATGTCTTAGAAGTAGAGTAGCGCATGAGCTTTTAGGCTTTGACTAAAAATAAACCCAAAAACCAAAGTCCTAAAAACGGATTTGACGACAAAACCACTAACTTAGGTGTCTACTAATCCTAAAAGTCTAACCCCTAAGTTAGACCTAAAGAGCCTATCATATCTCTCACCTATCATATAGACACTCTCTGGGTCCCACGTTCTCCCACACGACAACCAATGCTCTACTTCATTTATTCACCACATCTTACCCAAATTTACCTTTTTACCCACTATTTTTTTTCCTTGTTCCCAATGTTTCTTTTTTCTTTTGTTTGGCTAATTATTAGTATTTCTCATTCCTTTTTGTGGAAAACTAAATATATTTTCAGCCTGTATCCAATAATTGAGATGTCACGACTGAAAACAAAATGAGTTCATCTTCGGCCAAAATACCATTTCAAAAAATGAAAATTTTATCAATGATTTATTTGGTGGACGTTTATAACAGTATACTCGTAATAATATTTGCATATAATACAGTTACACGGTTTTTTCCTTGGCTGAGGGATTTTGTTCTACAAATACTACTTAAAGAGTTCTGACAACACCACGCTCCTCCAGCTTATTATTATTTCCGATATTAATTAATTAGTTAGGATAATATACTATTATTGTCACTGAAAACGAAACCAATCAATATCGTCATATATACTGTACTACTACTACTTTTAAATTGAGAGAAAAACAAAAAATCAATCTTTTTTTTTCTCAAACCCCTCTAATCTTATTTATTAGTATAAGGTTCAAATGTTGTGGCCATCCATTCGATTGATTGGTGTAATTAGTGTAGTCAATACGGTACAAGTACGTTGAGACGTAATGATAATTAACTGAAGTGATGCCATTAAAAAAAATGAATAATAGTCTTCCTACAATTTTGACAATTTTAGTAGTAAAACGGTATAATTAGTTTTAAAAATATATATAATGTGGGGATCAAGTATATTACCCATTCAACAAAAAAAAAAAAAAGTATATTACCCATTCTTAACATTTAGACCACAAAAAGGTATAGGACTCATAAATATAATTTATTTGCTGCGTTCACGAGGCTTGGAAAAAGTGAACATATGAATACTAACAGTGAACATATTAACCATTCACACTTTTAAGTTGAATAATATGCATTGATTTCATATGCTAATATTCGAACTATTTTTTTTCTGTCAACATATTAAGACCATTAAACCTTATGTTTGGAACTGAGAAATAAAATGGTTTTCGTTATTGACAAAAAAAATCAATTGATACCTGATACAGAGTATTTGACGAATGCCTTGTTATATCTAAAATTAGCTTTTCGAAATTACGGTTTAGTTTGAATAAAAATGAATACATTATTGAGATTTTTTTTGTTTTTTTTTCTTTATTGAGATTTTCATTGGTTGCATTTTAGAATAGCATAATGGTACTGAAAAACATTTAACATAACCAAACACTTGTAGGACGGTTTTGTTTTAGAATGATAAACGCAAAGACTAAACATAAACTGCAATTTGAAAAATTTGAAAAATTTGAAGAACGATACAGATATGCGAAATGACATAATCAGTCCACTAAAAGACTAATTAAATCAAACAGTTGTACATCAGTTTTTGATAACTGGTCAGCACAAAAATTGTATCCCTAAATACATACTTGAATACTTGAACAATGTAAATTCGTACATAACATATATACATGTATATAAATATCAAGATTAGTATATATTTGGTTCATGAAACATACTAATATAAATTACAGCTCAAGTCATTACGTGAAACCTCTGTTGCTTTGTGGACTATGGTGTAAAATAGGATATTTTATTTAATGATAAAAAGTCTGCATCCATTCCCAAAAATGCCTTGGTTGCATAAATAATTGGTTTTATCATTTTTTTGTATTTGTTTATTATCTTTGGTTTTATAAGCCTATGCGAAGGAGGAGACTTAAAAAGAAACGTACATAAGGTAGCCCGCAAAAATTAATGAAAAACCATTCTATTAGCTCATTTATTTCCTTATAACCATTATCATTACAAAACAGTAAAATCTTTATAAAGTTGTATAATTTCGAATCTCGTTGATAACATTACAGAATCGTAAAATTGTGTTGTCAAAAATTTGCGAAATGTAAATTAATTTATGCTTATCATTAATTTTGCTGAAGTGCATGCAAAACGTTTGAACTCAACAACGGTGCCTGAACAAAATGAAGATAATGAAACCTAATTTAATATTAAAAAACATTATTGAACCAATTTTTATCATTAAACTTTTCAAAATATAAGAATAGTCTAACACACACTGATTTCACATGGTTATTTATATCAGTATATCAGTATATGGCTAGTGAAACTCGAGAAATCGTTCTTTGCAATCGTGTGTGTGTTACATAAAACCAAGTAATAGCCTAATAGAGTAATAGGTAGCTAAACGTCTTATTTTAACTAACGTAACTTTATTTGGTGTGATGGTTATTTACATCATCGATGCATGCGCACCACTTGTGACTTTTTGTGAGTTAGTTTCTTTTTAGGACATTCAAGCAAAGCTTTAACTAACATATACGTTTCTTTCTTGTTGGATGGTGTTGGTAGTTACACAATTATATTCTCTCATCTCTTGGCAATTGTTATTCAATTAATTAATTCTCCACAAGCTACGTCAATATTCTAATATATTTTCAGCTTTCTTTTTTTATCTCAAAATAATACAATTTATCTCTAACTGTAAGGAATTTTTGATATATGATTCAAGTGAACTCCGAAATATTTGTTGGTAAGATCTGAGATTTGATATATACAACTCTTGTTAAGTTGTTTTGGCCGAACTCATAAAATTCTTGTGCAAAGTTTGCTTTTCTTACTTGTGCATTTGTTATATCAGAGTTTCAAACAACGTTGAAACAAAGCTACAAACCTTACAAATCTTATTTAAAACTAACTTTTTGAATCGTCGTAATACAAAACACTTGTATTAGTGTTAAACCTATATATTATCGACTATCAGATATCCTGTTCACTTTGTTTCTTAGTGTCTTTTTTTTCAAAAAAAAAAAAAAACTCTGGACACAATATTTCATATAAATCAATTGATTTTCGCTATACTGAAACTTTTTGATATATAACTTGTAATTAAATCAATTCTCGTAACTAAATTAATTATATTTTAATTACTTGAACTAACAGGGTTTTGATATTCTAAGAATATTAGCACTATGTGGCTTATTTTGTTGTAACATCAGATTAATTTTATGAATTATGATCAAATCTTTGATAAGAGTTTTCTGCAAAATTAATAAATTATTATCAAAAAATTATTATGCCAGTTATGCCAAAACCTTTCGCACAATTAAAATCGAATTGAATGCACAAATTCATGGTCTAAACGCTTAGTAACCACATCAACTCAAGCAGGTTATAAACAAACTATTTTTGCTTGATTACGCTTATTTAATGTGTTCGTTTTTTTTTTTGTTAAAACAGTCACCGTTGATGTTATATATCTCAAGACAACGGATCAAGAATAAAATGGCCCATTCCATATAACCAAAATCCTCGGGGAGAAGACCAAGATGGTCCAAAAATATCATTGGAACCACGTGAATCTTGATAAATTTTTGGTACTCCACTCAATACTATTATTTATTATTTGAATAGGACAATTCTATTATTTGTTTTCCTAGATTAAAAATCTCACTTAAAGTGTACATATTGTAAAAATCTCACTTAAAGTATACCCTTTGTTTCCTTCTGCAAAATCTGGTAAAAAGGCATTACATATATCAAAAATGTTAAAAAGTGCACATCCTCGATAATTATCTTATAATTCATGTATTTTTTTTTTACGAATATAACCAAAATTATCTAATAACTCCACAGGTTACAGCTAGCTTGCTCTATTTTTCAACAACGTTACAGCTAGCTTTCCCTAGATGCATATAAATCAAAAGAAAAGACTCAAAGAGAAGTAGTAAAAACCAAACAAAAAAACCCGATAAAGAAATGGCATACAAATTGGGAAAAATGTCCCAATACTTCAAATAGCCTACATTTAAAACAACGTGTGTCCTTAATAGAGAAACTACGACCATACTTAAATGATGAGATTTGGGACCATATTTCACAAAACTTGGATATTGAAAAACATCGAATATTTAATCAACGTCGATACATATATAATTAGGTTTACTAATATGAAAAACGAGGAGCTAAAGTTTGTACTGCCTCGAAAGCAAAACTATATAAACAAAGAAGATGAAGATAAAGCAAAATTAATGATTAAAAAGCATGGATAAATATGTTCTAACATGTCCGAGATCCGGATTGTGTTTTTAGGTACCATTCTTGTCTCCTCCCAAAGCTTCAAGCTTCATCTCTCTCTCTCTCTCTCTCCCAATTATCATATTTGTTTTTTCATTTTGTTTTAAAAGAAGAATATCTCTTTCACATTTTAAAAAAGAGTAGTAGTATAAACAAAAAGAAAACTTCCGCCTCGTTCTTCTCCCTCTGTCTCTCTCTCTCTCTTCTGAGCTTTGCTCAAGCTTTCTTCCTCCCATGGCAACTCTCTCTCAAGTCATTATCTAGCTTTCTTTCTTTCCTTTTTTTATAACTTCTTTTACACTTTTTTATGGATATTAGGACTCATATTCTCGGGTCGGTTACTAGTAATGAAAGATCTAAGCAAGACAGATCCGGATTCGACGGTGAGGATTGCTTGCAGAGAAGCTCGAAGTTAGCTAGAACAACAATAACAACAACAGCAGAAGAAGAAAACTTATCCTCTTCTTACGGAGCTGCTTACTGCAAAACGATGTCGTTTCATCAAGGCATTCCTCTTATGAGATCTGCGTCTCTTCTCTCCTCTGACTCTCGTCGGCAAGAACAAATGCTTAGCTTCTCAGATAAACCGGAAGCTCTAAATTTCAGTAGATGTGTCGGTTTGGAGAGTAGCTATAATAACAAGAACTCTCTCCCGCCGTTTCTTCACCAGATACCACCTCCTTATTGTAGAAGCTCAGGTCTGTTCTCTTTTTTCTTCTTGAAAAATCAGAACATTTGGTTTAGAGCGGATTTGGTGAAATGGGTTTTATGTATGAATATCAAATTTTGATTAAAATTTTAAACACATTTTTGTGGAATGCAGGAGGATATGGTTCTGGTGGAACGATGATGAACATGAGCATGCAAGGGAACTTCACAGGTGTGAAAGGACCTTTTACATTGACTCAATGGGCTGAGCTAGAGCAACAGGCGTTGATCTATAAGTATATCACAGCCAATGTCCCTGTTCCTTCTAGTTTGCTTATCCCTATCAAGAAGTCCTTTTACCCATATGGATCTTTGCCTCCTAGCTCTTGTAAGATAAGCTGACACTGATGATCATGTGTTTGTGAAAGTTTTCGGATTTTAATCAAGAGATTTTTCTGGTTTGGCTGCTTTTTGATTCAAGAACATCAATACAAGAATCTCGTTTGATCTCTTCTTTGATGTCATTTTTGTGCTAACTCCAAGTAGTTTCAAGATTTGCGCTTTTAAGGATTTGTTGCCAATGGCTGTATCTCTAGCTGTTCTTTGATGTCATTTTGGTGCAAATTCCTTTATAACAGTGCCCTAAGGGTTATAAAAATTTGTGCTTTTAGTGATTTCTTGCTCGTAGGGTTTTTCCAAGATTTGTGCTTTTAAGGGGATTTTGTTACCAATGATGACTGAGTGTTACTCTCTGGCTTTGATGCAGTCGGATGGGGAACTTTCCATCTTGGTTTCGCAGGCGGTAACATGGATCCTGAGCCCGGGAGATGCCGTAGAACAGATGGGAAGAAATGGCGATGCTCAAGAGACGCTGTTCCTGATCAGAAATACTGTGAAAGACACATCAACAGAGGCCGTCATCGTTCAAGAAAGCCTGTGGAAGTCCAATCTGGCCAGACCGCCACCGCTGCTGCTGCGTCCAAAGCGGTTACAACGCCGCCACAGTCTTTGGTCGCTGGTGGTAGTAACAAGAACATTGCTCGTGCATCACGCAACCGCAGCCTCGCCACTGGAGCTCAACACATCAATCCTTCTACAGACTCTCTACCTAACAACAGGTGAAAACATAATTGCATGTTGATCCTTTACATGTTCGCGTTGGTTCATGTTCATAACTTACTGATTCTTGCAAAACAGAGTCCGGAATCTGCAAGGAAGCTTGGTATATCCATCCACCGTCAGTTTACAACCTAAAGAATCTCCCTTTGTTCATCAGAAGCAAAGAAACAATCCTTTTGAGTTTGGACACATATCCTCTGATTCATTACTCAATCCGAATTCCGGAAAAAGCTACGGATCATCGTACTTGGATTTTAGCAGCAACCAAGATAAGCAACCGGGCAATCTTAATCATAACTCTTGGCCTGAAGGGGTGAAATCGGATTGGACGCAGCTTTCAATGTCAATTCCAATAGCATCATCATCTCCTTCCTCAACACACAACACTGGTCAAGACAAACTCACACTCTCGCCTCTCAGGCTATCGCGTGAGTTTGACCTTTCGATCCACAGCGAGGAAACAAGCGAGCCTGTGAAAAAGGTGAATACTTGGATACCAATCTCATGGGGAAGCTCCTTAGGAGGGCCTCTAGGCGAAGTGCTTAACAGCACAACGAATAGCCCCACATTGGGATCTTCTCCTACAGGGGTTTTGCAAAAGTCTACATTTTGTTCACTCTCTAACAGCAGCTCTGTAAGCAGCCCCATTGCAGAGCACAACAGAAACAATGGCGACTACTTCCATTACACAACCTGAAACTGAAACTTGTCCTGAGGTGGAAAATCTGGAAAACGAAAAAGTCGGTTTTTTTTTTCTTTATTTCTTTCTTGATGCATTGCTCTTCATTTTGTTCTGTTTTTTCTTTCTAAGCTTAAAGAGGAAATTAGAGGAGAAAAAAAAAAGAGTAATCGTTGTTTATTCCAAAAGTCGATTCTTTCTTCGTTTCCGATTTCTGAGTCTGGATTTGTTCCATCATGTTCTAATATAATCACAATCTAGCTTTTAATTGTCTTACATTCAGAAAAGTAAAAGCCTTTGATGCTCTGGTCTGATCAACACGAGGGTTTTCTCGGTAGGTTTCATTGTGAATCTGTGATCTCTAGTTTCGTGCAATCTTTCTCTTTATCAGAGAGAGGTTTAGGATTAGATGCTCTTCCAGCGTATATGGACTTGAGGATCTAAACTATTATTGGGCTTACAGATCTAAAAAATCGTTTTGGGCCGAGATAATAAACTAATGGTTTCTTTTAGATTCGGTATAGTGTGAAACGGTTTATTTTGTTTAGTGCTTGAATTTAATTTAATAAAGAAAAAATAAATGAGTACTTTAATCATCATGAGCTTCATTGGCATGATGTCACTTCGCACAAAGCCTTTCCACTAAACTGGTTACTATAAACTATAAAGTAATAGTTATAATATATATCATTGTATTACTTTAATACTTTAGTTATTATTTATCATAACACGACAACAATCCTCGTTCATTCCTACGAGATAGAGAGAAAAAAAAATCCAAAAAAAATCTTTTTTTCTTCTTCTCTTGGAGTTGGTAAATAGGGAGAGAAAGTGGAAAATTCGAAAACCATCATTTTTTCGTCCTAACCTTTCATTTCATTTACATAGAGAGACAGAGAGACACAGAAAGAATTTTTCTTTCATCTGTCGGGTATTGCTCTAAATTTTAGAATATTTTTATTTCATATTTCTTATATCATATGATCGATGATCGAAGATGGGTTTTGTGCAGCCATATTCATTCTCCGATTATAAAGTTCCCAGTGTTGCTGTTGTTGAAGTTGTCTGTTAATCAGAATCCGCCGCATCTCCGACAATCTTAACCGGAGAATCTCTTGTTCCGTCAAGAGCCGGTTATTGTCCGTATTCACTCGTTGAAGCTGGTATATGACTAAACGGAGTCGGTTCCCGAGCTCACGGTTTTCAAGATCAAGCCGGTTTACTTGGTTTCGTAAGTTATCAATGTGACTCTGTTTACGCATTCTCGACCGTCTCGCCGATTCCCTGTTCGATTCCATCCTCTTCCTCTTCCTCTCGTCGGTCATCTCCGGTTGGCTGAATATGTTCCGGTTATGGTTCTGCTCTCCCGAATCCAAATTTGGGTTGGATGTCAAGTGTTTTGGGTCGTCCGAGTCCGGTTCGCCGTGTGAAATATCAACGTCGTCAAAACGTGGTTTGGTTTCGATGAAATCGGCACAAGGTTCGTCAGAACCGGATTTGGTGTCATCAAAACCAGAATTAATTCTGACGAGACCGGTGTCGGATTCACAATAACACGGGCTAGGGACGGCCGGTTCAAGAGACAATTGGTTCACGGAGAAGAGATCAGGGCTGTCCCATTCCCAAGGAGTGAATCCGGTTTGGAAACCCGAGAAATGATTAACCAAACCCGGTTCAGAGAAGGAAAAGGCCGGGACAGTAGATAACATAATTGCTTATTTTTTTCTAATAAAGAGATGAGAGAGATTAGAAGGGGAAAAGGGAAGAATTGCATTGTTGGAGCTTGATATTTATTGACAAAATGAAGAGGGGTATTATGGTCATGTTAGTAAATACGGCATACGACCGTATATTATACTCTATAAACAGCTTCCGAGTCATGTTGCACTATGGTGGGGTTAAAAATCTGAATTTGTAATTTGTAGAGCCAACTTTTTTTAAAGCAGGAAATATTTTGTGGGGCACCATTGCTCGTTTTGGGTCCATATTAGCAAAAATATAAAATTAAAATTTTTGAAATCCAAATGTCTGTAGTAGCTTAGTGATGAAGAAAACAGTTTCACATTTCAAACGTTTTAATATTTACACAGTACTAATTCAAAGAGAGACATATCTCTTTATGCTCCTAGAAAAGTTAAATTTATTACTTCGTCTATATTATTATTATTATTTTTTTTGTTAGAATGTTCAACACAAAAGATTGATGAACAAGTACTATACCTCAAAATATTATATATACTCAAGAAAACACCAGCAGTTCAATCTCATAAATCTTATTGATCATAATTCTTTTTGTTTCTTTTTCATTGCATCCATGGGTTTGCCATTACTTCAGGATAAAAATAACGTTTCTGTAAGAAAATTATCAAAATCTTTAACAAAAAAACTATTACAATTAGTTCTCTTTTTTCCTCCAAATTCACACCCTCTTAATTTGTATGTGAACATATACCTGTTATGATATTGACATCCACGATAGAGTAATTTTGTTTTATTTGCGTTGGTTCACTGTTTAATCATCTTTCTTAAAGAAAAAGAAAATCTTTATTTTTTTGTTCGCAATTTCTTTATACATGGGATGTACACTGGAGAGAGGCTAGAATCATCATTTTAATCTAAAAGTAAAAGTAGACAAAGAGTGGAGTAAAATTAACCGGAAAGAGATAGAGAATCTAAGGAACACTTTCCAATTAACTGAACCAAACTGGTGCTTTGCATGAGAGATGAGACCAATGCTTTTTATAAAGAACCCTATAAGTCCATAACCTACGACCCAAAAGTATATATACTTGCTTGCTACACGGAAACATTGAAATATAAATTAGTAATATGCCAATTCGTTCTATATTGAAAAATTATATATCCTCAATATTAATATTATATTGTTTCGAACTTTGCTTCAGCATTTGTATTGAAACACAGAGAGATGTGAAAATTCAATAACATATTACTAAAGTTTTATTTATAATAAATTATTTTGTAAATAAATGTTGAAAATTTTGAAACCACTTATTTGTTAAAATAACAAAATCAAACAAAATACGTAGAGATTAAAATCGCCTTTTAGAGTTTTAGGTTTAATGCTGAATCATATCATTGATAATTTCACACATATACATGTACAGCGTTAGCTTTTCATTCAAAAATTTTCCAATTATTATCGTTTTTAGTAAGTAAAAAATGAAAGAGGATGGAAAAAAATGTGCTTACACTATAAATCACAAGACAAGTACAAAGTTATGATCAAAAATATTTTTGTAATGACTAAACAATTTAATATAATTATATCAGAATATTGATTACCTTTGGTTAGCTCATTAAGATTAGCAAAAAAATGTCAAGCAATGGTCACATGCATTTCATATAAAATAGAGTAGAGAGGACAAATACATTATATACTTATTTATATAAACAACCCTTTATAATTGGCCAGACTCATGTTCGGTTCGGCATCATGTGAAATGAAACTTTAAATTCCCGATAAAAAGCTTCACATATTCGCTTTTTCAGTATATAATCCAATTCATTTTGTTGTCATAATATAATTCAACACTCCATTGCATATATGCATAATATACTATAGTATGTGAATCTGCACATCTTAAGTCTTTGGTCGTCTGTCACATGTGAAATTAACCTTTAGTGTTGAATAAAAAAGCTTCACATATTAGCTTTTCAATAATATCCAAATTTCATTTATCATAATATCAATCAACATTCCATTGCACATAATACATAGATATGATATTATGTGAATCTGCACATCTTATTCCTAATAAAACCCACTAAACTACAAACCTCCCATCAAAATTGTTAGAAACTATAGAAGTACGTGTGTTAATAGTATTCTTTTTCATATTTGTATACTCTGTATAATCTTTATATATAGTTTCTTGGGTATAACTCAATAAATGTCCACGCGAATCATTAAGATTACATTATTCTTTACCCTTATGTTAATCAACGAACTTCCCTTTGCTTGAGGAAAAGACATACAGTTTTGATGCGTATATAATATTGATCTATGTACATTTGACGCATCTTTATCACAAAAAAAAAAAAAATTGATGCATGATCTATGCATAGATTTAAAAACTTTCGAAAAATCCACCATTTTTAAAATTTCTAACTATATATCGTAGAGTTGACTAGATCATTTATAATAAGTAAATCTGTAAATGTAACGTTTATTGTAAAAGTTTAGGAATATTTTCAAGAAGTTAATAGAATCCACGAAGACTATCATTGGAATGTGACGGAATTTCAATTGATCTCTTACAAATAGTTCACAACATGATTCTATTATAATAACCCAAACTTGGAATAATTTAAATTACGTACTGCTACAAATTTACATACTTATTTGTAAGACGTCAATTTAATGTGTAATACTTTCTTTTAGAACTTTTTTTCCAATTTGGAGAATATAATTATAATTGAATAGAGTTTCATGTATTTAAATAGAAATATAAGCTCTATCTTTTTTTTTACGAAAAAAGAAGAATCTGTATATGAAATAAAAATTTCAGGTCCTTATAGGTACCTCACCGCCTGTTTATGCTATTAGCGACGGCTACGGTTAGGTCTTATTTTAGATAAAGAAGTTCAATCTTTAATTGCAGTTCAAAAAAAAAAGAAGTTCAATCTTTAATTAAAGTCGAGGGGAAAATCTTTAATAAAAAGTTTGGGACAACTTCTATATATTAAACGAAAAAAAAAACGACAAATTTCGTAAATTAGTAAAAATTTAAATCTTGTCGCTAAATCATATTTGGCTATGGATAACATGCAACACCCTTCCCCCTTTTTTTTTTTTGTTTTTCTGTAAAGCACGCTCTTCCTCTTCAAATCGTCCTTAAACAACATCTGTCGTTTACAGGGAAATGAGATGCAAATATTTCATGTTTTTTTTTGACCAAAAATATTTCATGATTCTTGACTGAATTAATAAGAACAAAAAAACTACGGTTATGTAATAAGCAATATATGTACTGGCAGTACTGCTGTTCAAGAAAATTTATTTTAGTCTCCATTTCGTCGCATATTTGAACAATATATTGTCTAATAACCAACAATTTTTTTAAAATTTTTTTTTAGCAATTTAAAATAAAAATAAAAAGCAAATCGCTTATAGAAATACGTCACAAACTATATCAACAAGTCTATCACCAGTGGCGACGACGAAAGATATTCAATCACAAAATTTGTAAGGGCCACTTCACCTGCTGTGATTCAGTAGGTTTTGTTGTCATTTTTGATTTAACTATATATACAGAGCCGTGCCCAGATATTTCGAGTCCGTAAGCAAATTTTTAAAAAAATATTTTTCTCATCGAAAATTCATATAAAACTAATTTACAATGTTCCATCGGATCATCCTCTTTTTCACATTTATTTTTATCCGTTCATTTTCATCTTTTTTTTTAACCATTTTCATTCATTATATCCACTTTTTCATTCAAATTCTTCTCATCTAGGGTATTCACATCTTTTTCTCATTTAAGTCATCTTCATTCATTGCATTCGTATTCTCTATTCCATCTCCAAAAACACCATGATGTTCATTATTTTTTTTATAGATTTATCAAGAATTTTAAATTTTTTTAAAGACCTAAATAAAATATTCGCTTGAGAGTTTTCTTCTTTTTCTCTTTTCTGTTTTAGTTTTCTTTTTTATATCCATACAATGATTTTTTAAATTTATTCCCAGACATCTCTGTAAAAAAAGAGTTATAACAAAAATTAGCAAAAGAAAAAAAAAATTATAATAAAAAAATAATTAGTAATTAACAAATACCTATTGAGATACCGTTTAATAATTATGTTATTGTTCTAAAAAGAAGAAAACTGAAAGCTTCGAAAATTCAATAATGAAGAAAGTGAGTTGAAGAAGTATCGTGTATTAAGCGCCTAATTAAACATTTTTGTAACCATTACTCTACTTTTATATTTGTTAGATAATTTTTTAATTAATCTCTAATTTTATTAAAAAAACTCACATATTCTTTTAGTTTCCTACTACTCTTATCTGAACCTTAAATTTTTTTAAGAAATTTGGCCCGTAGGCCAATGTTTCTAATTCACCTACGTAGGCAGGGTCCTATATATATATATATATAATAATCTCAAATGAATTATGACTTAATGTTTTAAGTTTTTGTCGCATTCAAACGTCAGTTTCATCTCCATTACTCCATAACACATTTTTATACGTGTGCGCGTGTATACATATGAGTAATTAAATGGATGCAAAGTAACGTTATGAATCCACTAATTATGGCTTTTTAGACATCTATTTTTGTTTAATTTCTATGGGTTGGTGGTGGAGTGTTCGTTGAGATTTAACGCGTGGCGTCATTTGGTGCGTCATTAGGGTTCCTCTCATGTCGTATAGCTCGATTAATATTTTATATATCAAGGCAGTGTGTTTCGTATATCTCCATGCATGTGGTCAAATGTTATTTATAATATATACGTGACGTGGTAGCTTTTGTTATGGATAGTTTCCGATTCTTTTTGCTTTACAACTTTGAGGGTCGATCGGTTTCTCGTGATATTAAACATAAATTATAGAGAGGTCATTGATCGCGAGTATTGCACTAATGAGTAATGACATAATCAATTATATAACTACTCCGGATAGCAATGGAAGGTAATGCTCCAGCAAATGATATTGCAACCAGTGTGACTAGAGACCATCGCTATGCATCTTACATTGCACAAGGTCCTTTTGGTTACAAAATCGAATCGCAGATGAGGCGGCTAAGACTAATTTATTGGTCTCTATTTCCCATGGTCTTTTCTCTCTTGTTTTTCTTTATGTCCATGGTTTTTGCCATTCTCTTATATGGTTTTTTGAGGGTAAATTAGTTACAGTACTCTGTTTCTCAAGCCTGTAACAGGGGTTTAGGGTACCTACTGGTATTCTTTCCTTTTGTAACC